AAGCTGTGTGGTTCGGTTGATACGCTGGAGGGAAGGAATGGCATCCAGAGGGACCTCGACACGCTTGTGAGGTGGGCTGATGCCAACCTCCTGAAGTTTAGCCATGCCAAGTTCAAGGTCCTACCCCTGGGTCGGAGCAATCCCAGGCACAGCTACAGGTTGGGCAGAGAAGAGATTCAGAGCAGCCCTGCGGAGAAGGACTTGGGGGTGTTGGTTGATGAGAAAATGAACATGAGCTGGCTTCAGTGTGCACTTGCAGCCCAGAAAGCCAACCGTATCCTGGGCTGCATCAAAAGGAGCGTGACCAGCAGGTCGAAGGAGGTGATCCTGCCCCTTTACTCTGCTCTCATGAGACCTCACCTGAAGTATTGTGTGCAGTTCTGGTGTCAACATGAAAAGGACATGAAACTGTTGGAACAAGTCCAGAGGAGGGCCATGAGGATGATCAGGGGACTGGAGCACCTCCTGTATGAAGACAGGCTGAGGAAGTTGGGGCTGTTCAGCCTGGAGAAGAGAAGGCTGCGTGGAGACCTCATAGCAGCCTTCCAATATCTGAAGGGGGCCTACAAAGATGCCAGAGACTCTTCATCAGGGACTGTAGTGATAGGACAAGGGGTAATGAGTTAAACTTAAACAGGGGAAGTTCAGGTTAGATACAAGGAGGAAGTTCCTTACTGTGAGGGTGGTGAGGCACTGGCATATGTTGCCCAAAGTGGTAAATACTTCATTAATGGCAGTGTTCAAGGTCAGGTTGGACAGAGCCTAGGGCAACATGTGAGGTATCCCTGCCTGTGTTAAGGGGGTTGGAATTAGATGATCTTTAGGTCTTTTCCAACCTTAACTATTTTATGATTCTGTGATTCTATGACATAAATACCTGCTGCACCAGGATGTTTGTCTAGAAGTAATCTGTCTAATAGCTAAAAAGATCTTTTTGCTAGTCTATGTTCCTGTTCTCCTGTTCTCCAGTTCAGTTCAGCAGTCAGCTTTGAAATTAGGAGCACAGATAAGACGCATCTCATGTGTTGCCTTGTTTTTAGCACATGCTAAAGTTCTCATGTGAAATGGTGGCTGTGGAATCATTGACACGCTGATAAATTGGTGGGTAAGGACAATTATATAAAAAGTGATAAAATACTGAAGTGTTTCCAATGTGATGTTTTTGGTTAAATTTTGCTTTTGTAGTCATGTCTCAGTATGATGAATGCTGGCTTAGAGATGGCTTGTAGAGGCTCTTTTTAAATCTGGGCTTATTTCTGTGTGACCAGTGATGTAAATAATCTAGAATACAGTATACATGGTTCCTGCTTTTTTGTAGTTTATACTTGAAGCTATGTAAACAACCTTTCATTTAGGGCATTAAATTGACCTGTTGGTACTCTTCTGTGAATATTTACACGGCCAAAGACCAGAGTTACAATGTTCTTAATATTATGCCTCTAGGAAGAGGAGTATTGAAATTCTAGTGCTCATTTTATATCCAAAGCTAGAGGCCTATATAAACAAAACTGGACATTTTTTTTTGCTAGGAGTGCCATTGTTATGAATCTGCTTCGGGTAGGAGAGGGACTAGATGTGTTCTTAAGTTAGCTTCCAGCGTTTTCAATCCAGATGCTGTTGGTGAAGTTTTGTAAACTTCTTAACCTGCACTTGAGAAGTACTTAGCCTGAACATCAATATGCATCTGTCCACTGTTTATGAATTGACACCACTTGATTTGACTATTTTATCTGTTAAAATATTCGCCAAGGCTATCCCAGACTCCTTTGCAGATTTTTTTCAATTGTAGGTACGTGCTTGCTGAGTTTCTCAGGTGGGTACTGGAGACATAGCTGGAGAAACCTTTTTCAGACCAGACATAAGACTGGACATCACAGTATTTCTGCAGTGTTTGTGTTTGTTATCTGGTTTCAGTATAGCCTATAATCAGTTATTGCCTGAGTGACAGAAAATACTTCAATTTTCCTCGAGATGGGTAAGCTGGAATAGAACCTTGTCTCAGCCCTGGCTCTTGTGTATTTGGACTTTGGCAGGCAATATCTGATAGTAATTTTGCTGGACTTTAAGGATAGAAATATGATTGATGGCTAAAAAGACACAAGAAAAATATGGATTTCTGCCACTGACCTTCCAGTGACATTGTTGGGAGAGTGATAAATCAAGCTGCGTGTGTACAGTATATACTTAACTAATGTTATACTCTGTAGTGCCTTTGAGTAAATATTTCCAGACAGAGAAATTGTTTTACTTTTTTTCCTTTGATGGGAAGGTTGCTACCGTGACTTTTATTATTTTTGTAGTAGTAACTGTTAAACATTTCTGTTCTGTTGAACATTTCTGTGGGTCTGTGGTTTTCTGCCATTGCTCAGAGAGATACTCAGAACAGACTCATTCTGTGTTCTGTCTTCTTTTCTCATCTTGGTCCTTTCCTGCTCCATAAATGACACAAGTGATTTCATTTAGCAGTTCTCAGCCAGCTGGAGGTGTGTGTTTGTCACAAGTCCTGTGACACTTGTGAGTCTTTGACCATACCTTCCTCCTTTGATTTTCTGGCCAGATCCTGTGTAACCATCTTTGAAAGGTTCTCCTGATGGACAATCCTAGAAGTGTGCCAGCACACTTTGGCTGATGAGAGAGTTTGCTGCTGTTCAAGAGACAGTACATCTTGCTGGATGCAGTATCCCCTAGGAAAGAGAAGTCTTGAAATTACTCTTAGTGCTGGTCAAGCTTCTAATGTAAAGTTAAAGGATATGATTGTAGTAAAATACAAATCTTAAGAAACCAAACACTGTGCTTTGTGAAGATGCAGGATACTAGTGCGTAGATCACCACAGTCATGGTGCTTTGGCTATTTTCTGTCTTCTGCTAACCCGATTGTTGTGATAGTCATGGTGACTCCTAGGACAAGTCACACAGGTCCTAGACCTGTGATCTAGATTCTAGGACTTTTAAATCCATTTTACACTTTCTGGTTTATCTCTTTTATGGTTTAGGGTCAGAGCTTCTCCTTATATCCTATTTTCCAAAATATGAATGCCAAAAATTAGCAACCTTACCAAAATCTTTCCTTTTTTTTTGTGAATGAAAATACAGCTTTTTAAGCTGTGGTATAAATTTAATATTTGATGTCATATAGACCACATTTTACACAAAAATGTAAACCAATGAATGTACTCATCTTGACAGAATGGACAGAATGACAGAAACAATAAAATGGCAAATACTCTGGTAGTGCAGTGTATTTGGAATAAGAAGTTCATAAACATGGCTTAGTGGCTGAGGGTGAAAGAATAGGATGGTCATGGTTTTCTGTAGGCATCCATACAACAAAATAGTGTAGAATATAAAGAACAACCTGCAGTGGCAAAGTTGCTGAAACACTTCTGTTTTCTCTGGGGAAGTGCTCCTATCTTAACTGCCACTGTAAGAGGATTTTAGATATGTCTCTGCTCAAGTTCCCTCAGAAGTCCAACCTAGAAGCTGTACTTGAAAAGTATTAAAAACATGTGCTGACAGAGTTTATCATTGATCGTAGCACCCGTAACCACTTTCCCTGATCTGAAGTGATGAATTTGTTGCCATTTATATAATAATGTCATTCACAAGGACCTCTCCTTATCCCTGTCCCTGCTCTTGGGACTGATTCAAACATTCCCACAATCTGTTTCTGTGAGAAGGAATAGACCATTAAGGAAACAACAGTAAAAGTGGGGGACAGGAGGAGAGGAAGGCATAATTGAATGGGCTGAGGAACTTAGAAGCCGTGACTGATGAGAGTAACACTTCCTGTTGTGAACAGGATGAGTATCATCAGCTAAGTATCATGATTTTGAAAATGATTAGGAAAGCCAAGAGCTCAGGAATAAGAGATACATCTCTCTGAGTCACTTCTTGCATGTCTTTATTGGGAAGTTAAGCTTAAAAAGAAATAATCTGTTTGGTTTGCAGTGATGATTTCCTGTTTGCACTTAGCATTGAGAGATTTAATTTTGGAAGCATATTCCTAAATGTCCATTAGTGCAGCTATAATAAACATCCTTCTGTTTATTCCTTAAGCAGCATGTTACCTAGAGCTATTCCTCTTGTTCCATATTCCACGCTTTCTCATGTCAATCAAATTATCAGTAACAATAATCACAAATCCCATTAGGAACTAATTGTACATATGCAACTTCAAGCTAGTTTACCTCTTTGCTAATGTTATCTCCAATTTTTTTAACTGCAGTCAATCCTGCTTGCTTCTAGCTCTGTAATTTTGGTTACACATCTTTACAAACTATTAAGACCTAGAACTCATCCGCATGATACTCTGCTGCTTCAGAAATAAGAAAGCCCTGTAAAATGGAGTAACCTTCTCTTTGGTCTTTTATGACTGTAAAAAAGTGGGACAAAATTCTGATTGATTTATAAACACCTGAAAAAAACATAATTAATGTAGAAAGTGCTGAAACATCCTTAGTCAAAGTGATGTCACTGGATAAGTCATTTCAAAGTGGCTTAAGGTATCTCTAAAGGAGAGAAAAAAGACGGGAGGATAACTGAAACTGAAGATGCTTCCTTGCCACTAGTTCTTCCCAATTGCCTATGGCCAGTAGAAATGTTCTCTGAAGCAAAATGTTTCGGGTTGTTGATATTATACAGGCATCTTTGTATCCTACAAATCAGTAGACATCTTCCTTTTGCTTTTTGCTTAAAGTAAGTTACTTCATTGTTCATGCCTTTCATAGCCACAGGATTCCATATAAAGTAGGGATAGCTTGTCTAGTTTTCTTTCATGTGCGTTCATGCCTTCCTTCATCCATAAGTATGCTTGCGCATGTTGGGAGTGACTGTGAGTTGCTGTTTTTTGTAAGGTTGTCTTTTATGTCATTTTAGCGTAATAAGTTTGTAATGTTTTTCTGCCTTTTCTTTTGGAAAAAAAAAAAAAGAAAAAAGTAATTTTTGCCTCATTGGGTATCTTCTGCAAAATCAATTTAACACTAATATCTTTTATTGTGCAGAGCTGGTTATTTGCCTCAGAACATCCCTTTGGAGATTATAAGATACTTTTCAGAGGAGAAGGATTTTCTGCCTTGGCATGCTGCCAGCCGAGCTCTTTATCCTCTAGATAAATTGCTGGACCGAGCAGAAAATTACAACATCTTCAATGTAAGAGATACAACCTTCCTTCCATCTGTCCTTCTGTCCATCCTTGCTTCCTTCCTTCCATCCTTACTTCCTTCTTTCCATCAGTCCTTCCGTCCTTGTTCGTTCCTTCTGTCTGTACTTCCATCAGTCCTTCCATCCATCCTTCCTTCCTTCTGTCCTTCATTTGTTCCATCCATCCTTCTTGTCCTTCCTTCCTTCTATCCTTTTTCTTTCTCTTACTCCACCTCCTTTCATTGCCAGGAGTTAAGCTATTCCCAGTCATATACTGTAAATGACCTAGGGATATTAGCTTTCTTCTTAATTATTCTTTATTTAAACATAGCAGTTGTCAAGCTTTGGTTCATTTGCATTTGAATAGTGATAACTGTTGTTTGAGGCATATATGATTAGCAGAAGGAAAGGCAATTATCTATCCTATAAAATATTATGTCAAGAAAAGTATTTCACTTAAAAGAGCCAAAGTAATCTGTTTCCAGATTTTCTCTTTTGAGGAGACCCACAGCGATATTTAGGTTGATGCCCAAGCTCAGCAAGGAAACTAAACGCAAACACAACTGAACAGGATGCATGCAACTGAAGTGAAGATTTGTAGTCATTATTTCATCCAAAAAGCCGTGGTGAATTCAATGCAGTTACCTTAATTAACAAGGATTAGATCTCCATTGAATCAAAAGCCCATTCATAATTGGGTCCGAAGGGACCAGTAACAGCTAGCAGTACATAATTAAGATAGACATGACAAACATTTTAACATTTTACCTGAAACTACACTGAAGCATGTTTTATGAAGTTCACAGGACTTGATTGCAGCCAGTGACACTTAATGAACTCTTGGGCTTTTAATTCATTAGGAATTTTATGTAAGCTATGTATTTTCAAAGGCCAACATACTGTAATTTTATGTAATTTTGTAAAGCCTTCAAATGGAGAAACTCCCTAAAGCCTGAAATGCTTAAAGGTGCTTTTTGCTTAAACATGGGTTTGCTTGTGAGTCTGTGTACGCACAGACACACATGCTCAAACAACAGGAAGCAAGAGGTGGCTGCATGTATGTATATGCATATAGAAGTACATACAAGTATATATATACATACACACACATACATAGAGCTACCTGCTGACATGGAAAAGAAATTTTATAGGACAAATACTACAGATTAATAAAGACACATTGAAATTCTTTATGAACCTCCAGTGTAAGCCTACATGCAAACCAGAGCCTTAATATAAAATGATGTTGAAATAATTTGCATGTTTAGTCTGTTGTTAGCTGTACAGAAAAATTCTTACGAGCCTGCCATTGCTGTATCACTTTTAAACATGGCTGTCTAAAGAAAACACAGTTTTAATAAATAAAACCAGTAAAATTCATGGCTGTGTTGTGTTTTATCACTACTGATGAGAGCTTTGCAAGCAAAGGTGATAGCAGAGGAAATAAAAAGTCTTATTAGTCACAGAATAACGTATCTAGTAGAGAAAGCTGCACTATGAATTTACTTTTGTGTTGACATCATATATACATGCACATGCACCTACAGTAATAAAATATATGCTGTCCTACGTGGGTCTTCATATCTCAGATATCTTTTTCCAGTCAGCAAACTGAATACAATAACTTTTTTCTTCAGAACTTCTCAGAATATGTAAATATGTCTCCTGTGTAAAAACTAAAAGTAACTAAAACAAATCTTGGGCATTTTTTTTTTTTTTTGTTCTTTAAGCATACCAAAACCCTTAACTTAAGGCATAGTGTCATTAAATGTACAAAGCTACTTTGCAGCCACATTGTTCTGTATTCTGAAGCTAATTGAATGTAGTTCTGCAGTGTTTTTGCTATGGCTATTGAACCAATATTCTTTAAAAAGTGTACATGCGCATTGTAGTTGAGATTGGCTATAGAGTAGAAATTAAGCTATTGACACTCTTGCAAATTTTCAGTTGTGTATTGTGAGTTCAAAATAGCATGTAATAAACTTTTAAATTGATGAGGTTTGTAACAATAAATTGTCTTATACTAGGCATCTAATCAAATAGCTGTTCTACAGATTACTTCTCACTATAGCAATGAAAGGATTACAGGCAGACATTGCTTTGCTAAATGCAAATGAAAATCTTTGGAAAATCAGACATTGAGGTTGACAAAAAAAAGAAAACCAACCAAAACCTCAATAGTCAGTAGTACCTCAATTTCAAATAAGGAATAAAATTATCATCAAATATGTTTTTCTTTCTTCCCTCAGGAGTATATATTAAGACAAGTTGCATCAATGTATCTCAAGCTCGGATGGCCAACGAATAATTTAAACAAATCGCTTGTTCAAGCATCATACCAACATGAGTACTGTTATATTTCTCTTTTTATTGTGGTTTTTTTTTTTTATATATTTTTGTGAGATGTAGTAATAATGCGCTTTCTTAAATTTTGGTATCATCTTCAGCATGTCATACTTTCTTAGCTCTATTGTCCTTCTGTTTTTCCTTTCTGGGTTAGAGGGAGAGCAGCAACATGCTGTGAGATGAATTCCTCTTTCTTTAGTTTGGAGAACATGATTTCCTAAGCCTTAATTTAATATCTGGCTGAACTGGATATTTAAGGACTTGGATTTGTGACCACGGAGGTCAGAAAGAATGCATAAGTGTAAATGGGGATTGGTTTTGGTTCACAACCTTTCTTTAGTTGTTGCAGCGGCTGTAGGCATTAAATCGACGCTAAAATTTGTGTAGCTGGATTATCTCTGATATGTTGCCCAACTATCAGTTGCTGCCATTGTTACAAAAATTACTTTTTGTAAACAAACACATTCATTAATGCAGCCTTGTGGCTTTCTTTAATTTGGACAGAGAGTTGCGTCGAGAAGTCATCATGTTGGCCTGTAGCTTCGGTAACAAACACTGTCACCAGCAGGCTGCAACTTTAATCTCGGATTGGATTTCTAGCAATAGGAACCGGTAAGTGGAACTGAAATGTGTATGTCCTGTTTCTCCTACTCAGAGGCAATACAGCTGGCGTGCTTCCTTTCCTGCCTGCTCCCATCTGCAGTGCCCTGTTCTGCAGAGTGGTATGGAAGGAAGCAGAGGTCGCTGGCTGCTATTTAAAAATGTCTGTGGGGCTTCAGAATGAATTATTTGAATTTGCATATGTGAGTGGGGCACCCATGTAGCCTCTGCCCACTCCTGTTAAATTGCTGTCAGATGATTATATGCTAGAAGGCAAGAAGATGAGTTTTAAGGAGGGGTTTAAAGGAAAAAAAATGAATGAACAGCGTATTGGCAGACAACCATGGAGCCTGTGTCAGGGCAAAAGAGCAGAAGGGGACAAGTGATAAAGGAACTGAGAGAAGTTAGAGGAAGAACAATTGAGAAGAAAGAAAAGAAACAAAATGATGTATTTGAGGGAAATGATACGAAGTATTTAAGGGTGAAGACTTGGAAATCAACGTGATTCAGGAACACATGGAAAAGCTAATGTAAGTTTTCAGAGACAGGATAATATGACAACTGATATGTTGAGCATTAGCAGCAGTGTAGTGGTTTGACAGCAAATACCTAAGTTTGTCTATTCAGACACAGGTTTATTCAGCTGAGGCAAGGGGATGTGGGCCATGGATGGCATATAAAGTTTATATTTTAAAGGCAAGCATCTAAGAAATGTTAAATTACTGAAAATACAAATATTTAAGTGAGTAGTGATCTATGGACAATAAGGGTGTAGGTTAAGCCCTATTGGTTATGACTTCTTGAGAAAGAATGATGGATTTTCTGATATGTGGAATGTGGGTGTAGAAGTATTTGCATAAGTACATGACATGATACTGTGGTTTGAAGGAAAATATTTTACTTTGATGTAACAAAGAGAAAGAGAAGAGAAAAAGTCTTACAATTTTAGTCCGAATCTTGTATTAGCTCTAAAAACATGTAGGATTTTTTGAAGACATGTTAGGCCAATTTAATTGTTTGCAATTAAAGTGTGTCTGTCTGTCTTTGGAATGTTTGAAAATCCTTTATGGGCATACCCAGTTACATAAGTACCTGAGTGTCTTTTAAAACCAGCCATGAACTTGCCATGAACGGAAGTTGCATTTCGATCTGAATTTGAAACTTCTGAAAAAATTATCTTGAAACTATGAATATGCACCTTTAAAGATATGTGTGAGCAGGAGGGTTTTCTTGCGTAAGATGATACCAGTTGTATTTATTATGAAATATATACCCTGGGGTTTTATATGAACTCATAATCATCAGCAACAATCACTATGAAACTATTCAATGAGGAGATAAAAGAGAAAGAATCATTGCAAACAATATGCAAAAGTAATTTACTTAGATATTCATTTGCAAAATTAGTTAATCAAACCTAGCACCATCTATTAGCATGCACAGCAGTAGATTATTCAGTGTTAAAAAGCTGACATCCTGCAAAGCTTTCTCCTACTCTGTGTCTTCATCCTTGCAAACAGGATTGAAGAAGGAAGCATCACAGGGGGGAAAAAAATAAAGCTTATTGCTTTACTAACAATAACAAGAGAGGAATAAATTTAAGGAGCCATCTGAAGATTCATCTTAGCCTTTCTATGAGGCTATTCTTGGGAGCACAAGATTGTGGTTGCCAGCATATGACGAATATTATGATAAAAGCATCACAGCAGGGCAGAAGAAGAGAACAGGTGCGAAGTTAAAGCAGTACGTTTCTCCAAAGGAACTGTACAGTTTTGAAAACTAGCTGCAGTAAATAATGTAATTATAGAATACAGATTGACAGGCAGCCGATAAATAGGGGTACAACTTACAAAGAAGGTGAAGATGTGTTTTTATTTATTTATTAAGATTATTTATTCAACTGCCCACCCCAGAATTTACCAGTTGCTATTCTCAGAGCAGTCTGACAAACTGAATGTAGCTAACGTATGAGCTGACTCATTTTCTATCTACTTAAATTCAAACAATATTGCAAATGCTACTAGTAGTAGCAGCTTGGTAGGCATAAAATCAGCTTATTTTTTGCAGTAACAACATTTGTAGGGGTTTGTCAATATTCTCTCAAGAACGTTCAGATCCCTGCTGCATCAGAGGTGCCTCGTATCACCTTTGCTCAGTTCAAACCAACTCAGACCAAAACCTGAAAATAAAGCAGGGGCTGTTTTACCTGCTTTTCCACCAGGAAAATTATGGTGACTCTGTAATCAGGATTCAATTAACATGGTGTTTGAGTCATGCTTCTGCCTCTTTTAGCACTTCAGAGACAATAGCTATTTTAAGTGCAAAAGGCAAGCAGATAAGTACAAGATACATGCAGAGAGCACATCCAACAGGTGCCATTTTGTATTCTTTCTCATCAGTCAAGTGTTTTGCTCAGATTGATGCCTTTAACAGCTATCTATGAATTTGCTGCAGCCACCTCAGAATCTGTAGGAATCCCTCAAAGCTTGCTTTTTTAAAAAGAAAGGGAAACTCATGCTGCCCATCTTTTTCCAAACTTCTCTGACAACTGGTGAGGAAAGCTGGTGACAGGTACAGAAACTATATATATCCTTGCCTGTTCCACTCCTTATCAGCAATGAATAAGGTTGTATCTGCTGAAAACTGCTCTATAAGTTCTTGTAGATAGATGTCTTTTCCTCTTCTGAAACAGAACACAGACATTGTCTCATGCTTTGCAGAAAGCCTAGTCTTGGTGTTTTCCATAGCAGAGCAAGAAAACAGGGCTCCAGAAAGCCCAGAGATATTTTTTATATACAAGTATAATTTGAGTTTGACTACAAGAGTAAAAATAAAGGATAATTTTCAACCTTTCCACCCATCCTGTCACAAAAACCTTACTCTGGAAGATGGTGTGTTTCGTATGAGTTAATTCACAAGCAGTGCATGATAAGAGGAACACAATTTCTTCAAAGCAGTAGAGGCTATGGAAATAGGCTTCTGTCCCAAGATTCTAATCAATACAAACTTAGGGTAGTATTAAATTAATATGTGGTATTGAACATCACATAAATGCACAGACATTAAATCATGCAAAGAAGGTTTTGATTCCCTGGCAGTTACTGCAGTTAAAGTTTGAATAAGCATTAGAGAGAATGTGCAAGTAATAATACTGTAGGAATGCTAAAATTCATAACTTTTTAGCCACATTTTTAATCTGTGGCTTTTTAGAAGTTATTTTGAAATGTTCTTCCTGTTTTACTTGTAGCATTTAATTATGGATAAAGTGTTGGGTAATAAACAAATACAGTGATATCTAACTGTTTTACCAGCATATGCCTACAGTTGCTGTGCTTTTTAGTAATTATATTTAATCTGGTAGGTCCGGAAATTAATTACCATCTACTTTTCTCGGTAGGGGATTGAAATAATCATAATAATCAGTTACTGTTTGTACTTTGTAATTACATGTTCTTTACTGTGAAAATAATTTGCCACCGTTCTAGTAAAATAATGGTCATTTATAGCACAAAGTCAGAGGTCCTGTTTGTGTTTCCAGCAGTATTTGTAAAAAGCCATTAGATTTTAAAATGTAGGACTTCAGATTTTCTTATGGAATTATTAAAAAGAAAACCTATACATGTGATGTGCAGCGTTAGCCTTCACACATGAAATGCAGGTCATCTGAGAGGCTCGAAAGTGTTAATTTCTCAAGTGACTTTGGTGTTGCAGTGCTTCATTTTTCAGATGCCTGGCTCACAGGGCAGAATCAAATGCTTGGAGTTATACTTCTCACAAGGGGATTTGGGAACTTCTTAATGAGTTGGTGGTAACTGCCATGCTGAGTGAAGTGCCTCTTACCAAGAAACTGTGTGAAGCGAGAGTGGGCCCTCTTAGTGTCTAGCACTACAGGCAGAAAGATACCTATATCAAATGAATATGTAAATGGTGATCATAGGGATCCTTGCAAAAGATGCCTTTCAAAAGTGTCACTAAAGCAGGAAAAGGTCTGCTCCTTTTCTTTTCAAATACAGCTGGTGGAGAAGCTGTTCCTCAACCTTCTTTTGAGCAGTAATTCTGAGGCTGTGGTAGAACTTCAGTTTAGTACCTCAGCCCTGCATCTGCCATATGTAGAATACCACCCTGATGACTAATCTGTGAGGTGTTCAGGACAGTATTAAGGCACTGCAACATACTTTCCTCCTCTAGTTGAAGTTCAGCCACTGGAATTTCCTTCCTTATCAGGAGAAATAATACAGTTCTCCAACCTGAAGGTGAGAGCACTCATATCAGGGAGGGAGGCTTGAGTGCCTAAAATATCATGATTACTTTTTGCATGCGAAGGGCTTTAGGTGGTACTGCTCGCTACCTCTTTTGCAGGGCAAAACATAATGCTAAAACAGGCAACATAATTCTGAAAAGTTATAGCTAAATAACTCTAGATGTTTGGCTTTACAAGGAGCAAACCAAACATAGCACGCATAGAAGAGGCCATAAAGGAGACATCTGGTTGGACTGGTCTGAGTATTGACATCATATTTTAATCCTTTCAGTTGTTAAAACGGAAGTGATTACTTCTTTCAGCTGAAAACATGAGATTAGACTTCAATGCATGTATTATGGTTTTTTTAATAACTGAATTTAAGTAATTTTCTTCTTTTAAAATGGTTGATGGCTCCAGAACGTTTTGCTTGGTAATCTGCATTCACTTATGACTTGTTAGTTGATATGAATGCGAACATTTTTACTCTGTTGAGATGTATGCTATTCCTGTGTTGGAGCAATGGAAATCCTTGAAACTTCTATGATAATGTTCAGAAGAATGCACACCTAGTAGAAAACATATAAGCATGTTGAAATTTCCCATGTAGTTTGAGAATGTAAGGTTACTGGGATTCAGTCAACAGCGGAATGCTGTACAAGGGAAGCTACTGTTGGCTGAAAATTAAGATGTTTGCTTCTACCTTCATTTAACTGAGCTCATCCCTGTGAAGCTCTTTCATGTGTGAAGAAATACATTATTCACACTCCTT